TTCCAACTCCACAAGTACCAAAACAATTTCTTTGCGTGCTCAATGTTTTTCTTATGACATTTCCACAAACTGATTATGCTATCATGTTATTCATGTTATTCGTCCCTCAGTCGATCGTTTTGAGCAAGTCTTCAACGATTGCTTTCAGAGTTGAACAACCGGATATTGCTCTCGGATGACGATTTTGATACTGATACAATAATGGAGGTAGACGAAAGATAAGGAAAATGCAGAAGCCACTATGGAAACAGGAGATGCCGAAGAAAAACGGGCAAAGGTGAGGATGTAGTTCGTAGCTGTAGGTGCAATTCGAAAAGTGAGAAAAATCAATAAGATGAAAGTAATCAGAAGTATGCGGATAGGGGAAGCCTTTCGCGAAACAGGTGTGAATAGGTAGAGGTGTTCGATAGAATCTGGCCTAATTAGATCAGGAATTGGCTTAATACCTCCATTTATGTGTATATTGAATCCACGAACAATTGCACCAATCGGGTACGCAGTTTTACGTCGCAGTTCGATTAGTCTTACTTTATACTTGTTACTTTATTTCCTGCTTTCTACTTTTTATTCATTCTTATTCAAGGTTGATCATGCTAAGCTGAAGATCACATTCGAAAAATACAAACACCTTGCCGACATGCTGGTACTCCATATGCGCTCCGATGAGGAAGCGGTGGATGAGGAAGACTATGAAGGGGTACGGCAGGATTCTCTGATTGACTGGTACGTTCTCACTTCGAAGTTCATTTCTACGGGGTTTTGTGGTGACGGTTAGCCAGGAATAGGCTATTTGTCGCTTCTTTCTCGGGTGCTACACCCAGCCCCCAACATTAACTAAAGCGCTGCCGCACAGGTGCTTGATCGGGAAGTGTGCACGATCTAGCGTTTACGGAGCGCACATTTCTTTGGATCATTTACCTTACCTATTTCTTGAAGTACTAGTGGTTGTTATGTTAAGGTACTTGGAAATGATCGAAGGTGATTTGGAGACTGAGGAAGACCTGCATATTCAACGAACTATCTGCCACCGAGTTATTCGTAGACTTGTCACTGAAGATCATGTACTAATTGAAATGGATTCCGACGAGAAAAACCCACTACTCTGCGTGCATCCCAACTACGTCGTCACAGATCAGTAGCTCATTCCTCTTTGACATTTCCGATGGCACCGGTTACGTTCCTCTTTCAGGTTCAGTTCTGATTTTCGCTTTTTAAGTTTTAAGACTTTGTCAATCTTCTTATGCTTCACACACAGTATTGACAAGCTTCGTTCATTACTCATTTACAAAATTGGGTGGATACTAATCGGTTATCATTGACTTCACTTGATTTTGAGGTCTTAGTGCAGACCTGAAAATTTTTGACACGTCTGTTCCTTCCCTTCCATATTTTTACAATTTCGGTATTTTATGTCAAACTTTGCATTGTGAAGTAGATTTACAGTTGGAATTTGTCGCGTTCGAAACTAATCGTGGTCACCACTCCTTCTCATGCTCTTCTGATCTCTTCTACGAAAAATACTTGGAGATTGTATCCTGATCATTTTTACGTTTCGTTCTACCATGCTTATAATAATAAAAATTTAGGGTGAAATCGGGTTCTTCAGAAATTACACTTGTTCCTCAGCTTCAGCTGTTGAAGCTGAAGGGTACTTGGTATCG